AGTAAAAGACTACCATAGTCTAAATGCTGGCCTTAGCTCATCTAGTTTAAGGACAAACACTGCTATTTATTAGTCTTTAACACTGTTAGCTAACTGTATTTTCTGCATGCAAGATAAATACTAGAAAGTCTTCTGCACTGCAGAAACTGAACTGGGTCAACACCATTCCAATCAGAGATCTGTCTTTATCTTAGTCTTGATTAAATTGCTGTCTTTGCCGTGCACTAAAGAGCTGAAGTCAGGCCAAAAATCTCTGTCTTCCGGTCATCTGAAACACATCTTTTGGTTTCTCATTGAAAACGAAGGGAAAAAAAGTGCAGTTGATTTCCTTTGTCACATTATGCTGCTGTTAAAATAAAGGCTGCATTTCTAAATAAAAAGCTATTCTACTTATTTAGTTTAATTTTATCATGCATAGAAGTTTTTTTTTTCCAAGACCTCCTACTTGAAAAAAATATTTTTGAGGCAACATTGTCAAACCTGAATCTAAGCTAAAAAAATATATATTTATTTTTGAAGCAAAAGCTTTGGTGAACAAATTGAAATTTCTTTTGAATGTACCAAATCACTGTTAGAGCAAGCAGGCATGCAGGAATATTATAATAGTAACTTATATCCCAAACTAGTTTTGGTCAGTCAAGAAATGACTTGATGACTAAGTAATAGGTTTGGGAGCCTTCAAATTTATGCACAGGTGGAGACTACTAAAACAATTTTCCTTTAGTATATTTTAAGTTTGGTACACAAACTGAGCTATACAGTCTGCTGTGGTTTTGGCTCAGATTTTCACAGATTTTTGGTATTAATTAAAGCTCCTTTAAATGAAAGCCCTAAACCTCTGACATAAAAAGAATATGGTATGTCCAAAGCAGAATCCCTTATCTGTGCCATATCACTTCTCATCAAGACACTTCAACATACATGCAACTGCATTAATGCTAATCAACGTTTATGCTTGAACAAGATAGGCTTTTTTAGCATCAAGCTGAATTAACCAACTTAAGGTTTTTCAAAATAGCATGACTAGATTAATATCATTAAATCAATATCACCACTCAGTAATCTAACACAGCAATAAGGATTTTGCCTGTTGTTACAGTAGGAAGTCTGTATATAAGATTTTGACACAGCCCCTTGACTTTTTATACATATGATGCTGGCTGTACAAATCATTTCCTTGTTTGTGGATTCAGTGGATTTCAATGTTGTGCCTTTTTTTTTAAAATTCATCTAAAATCTGACTTCTGACTCTTTTCCTACCTGAAAATAGAATTCACTTAAGTAGGATAATTTTTTTTCTCGCATAGAGTCAAACAGGTCTTGCAAATTTCTAGAAGAGTTTACCTAAACATTTTAGTGTTTTTCAGGACCAACACTGGAGAAACTAGAAATAATGAAAGCCAAACACTGATGAAAGTTTCAAGGTAAGGTTTCCTCATCCCATATTTATATTACCATAACAGATTTCAAAACAAATGGGGAAATTAGCTTTTTTTTAAATAAACTCTCTATATTCTTGACTTTACAACTTATGGAAAAAAAAGTCAAAAAGCATACATACAAACATGCATTGACATAATCACTCATTCCTTTTATTTATCTAATAATTTGAGAGAAAAAAAAGAAACACGAGAACACATCATATGCTACATAGAATACATCAGAAGAAACACAAATAATGCTTCAAGCCTAGTTCTTAACCTGTATCTCAACTACAGAGATATTTCCTTTTTCCAACTTCATCTCTATTTTCTTTAAATTTAGTAATAACGAAACAGAAGTAAACTGAAAAATATTTTGTACCTTGAATATCCATTAGTTTGATTGGAATCATGATAATTTCCCCATTCATACTGATTCACTATTTCAGAGAAAGTGTTTTTACCATAACCGTGCATTAGAGGCAAGTTTGGGTGGGTTTAATTTCTCCTCCTCCCGTTCAGAGATGAGGGCAGTCACTTTCTCTTCTATGGATCTTACCTTGAAATGTGTTCTTCCTTACTTTCAGTTGGCTTTGTGACATATGAAAGGGCTTACGAATTTATGATTGTATGTGCAATGATTAATAAAATGTTGAAGAACAGAAGAAGGGAGAAGTAGTAGCAGTGAAATTAAAGTAGCTAGATTCAGATAGAGAGAAGAGAAAAAAGGTACAGATACCTGGCAAAGACTGCAAGATGGTATTTACTACATGACGAAACAGGATGCAGGATTGTTTCCTATAGTTCAGTATGTAGAAACTTCAAGATAGACAATATAAGATTACTAGCACCACAGTCAGAGTCAATACTGGCTAGCTGGTACTAAAGTACATTTATCTCTTGGTAAGCATGTCTAAAGACAACATTATTGAAATCTTCCAGTTAATTGATGAGCATCTTTTTTTTTTTTTTTTTTTCCTTTTGCAAGGGGGCATACGCAAAATCACTTCATTACTCCTCCGTAGGTAGTCTTTATAATCTCTATAGGTATTTGAAAAAGCCTTGTGCAAAGGACAGAAAATTGCCCACTACCACATCATGCCCGAAAGTCTGCACAGTGACATCACGTAGAGTAAGAGACAGGACTCCAAACTACCTGAGCTCTGACACTGCCAGATCAGTCATTTCAGCAGCAAGTGAAACCTAGCCTATTATGTTCAGGGTTCTAACTTGACATCTTCATTTCACTGCACCATAAATTATCACAATTTGCATGTTTGTAGGCTAAAAAAAACAACATTCAGGATTTTTTGTTCCTCCTCCAAAGATGAAAAGAAAAGCAATCCTCTTTGTCATCTCCTAGAAAAGATCTATTTTTATATGTAAAATGGAGTAGCCATGGTATTTGCAGAAACTCCTGCAGAAATTCCTGAGCAAAGGATAAAAAAAAAAAGCTTTAAACATTAAAAGCACAAGCTAAATGGAAAAACTACAACTACCCCCCTTTACTAAAGACCAGAACAGCCACTTAAATGAACCTTGTATAGTATTGTCAAAGTACTTTACTCATTATTTCAAAATGTGCCTTAATTTCACAACATTTGTGAAGAGCCTACTGCACATTGCATAATAACCTTGTATTCTGTATTAGCCTGCAGTGTTCCTGAAAACTGAGAAAAAAAGGAGAGAGGTATGAGAATAGAGGAGACAGGAGAGGCATGTAGATCTATTCCAAATACTCCTTGAACAGTAAAGCAGCAAGGACAAGCAATTTCCTCAAGAGGAGGACTTCTATTTGTAGACAAACCTCTTCAAATTAACATCAGATCACAACAGTAAACAATACGACTAAATAAAACTTTTTCTAGCTTTATATTATCAGAAACACTGTTTTGAATATGAGGGGGGTGACAAACTATGAAGGTAGCACAGCCACTCCGTAAAAGCAACAACTATTTCCTGGTCAGACACCAAATATTATGCTTTTCAAGTTATTCAAACACAACAACAACAAAAAATGTTTTCCATAAGTTATATTGTATACTTTACTGAAAGCTGTTCTAGAATGTCAGGTAACGAGTAAAAGAGCACCTTATATGCTCTAGGTGTGCCTGCCTGAGCGGGAAGGTTGGACTAGATGATCTCTAGTGGTCCCTTCCAACCTTGAACATTCTGTGATTCTGTGAATCTGTAAAATGAAAAATTGTTTTGAAGAAAGCTTTGAAGAGAGCACATTTTCCTCAAACTTGAGAGTAATGCTCAAGTGACCCAATTGAAAAAAATTGCCTTTTCAGGCCAACTTTCTTCTGGAAGACAGCTGAGAAAAGAATTTGCTTCCAAAAATCAGCCACGTGAAGTGCTTACATGTGCATATAAATTTGGTTATCCAGCCACTGAACAGCATAAGTGGAATCTGCATCCTGAATCTTAGATAACTTTTCTGTAAAAGCAATTAGTATCCATTAAAAACAACAACAAAAAAACTAAATCCAAGACAGGAAGACAAACTGAGTCATGCAACACTTATGAATTGCCACTGGCCAACACACTATTTGAATTGCTTTGGAAGCAATTCCAAAAAATGTATGACGTACATGTCCCTCTTCTATTTTCTACCACTTTACAATGCATTAGACGGAAATTGCAATGCATTAGAAATTCCTGTTTTTGAATTTAAGCACTAAAAACGGCTAAATTTATTTAGAAATATTATTTCCCCTGTTTATGCAATTCCCACTTCAATGCACTACCTCCTTGTACTGTTTTTTCTTTAAAATCATACATTTAAGAATAAATCAAAACAAACAATTCAAGTTATTAGATTTAAATCTCTACTGCCAACAGTAATAATGCAACTCTGATGTAACTGTAAAGATATAACAAGCAAAAATTACATATTTCTATATGATTATGTAGAGAATGAATTAATTTAGCCTTTGTAGACAATGTGGAGAGACATTATCTGCCCACACTGCTTCCCAGAACTTACGATGGATAAGAGAGCTTCAACACCATGCATATGAGGGAAATACAGACTATAGAACCACAAAATTTATCAAAACATATTGTAAAACGTATTTATGTAATTTAGAAAAATCATCCTTCTAGACTCTGTTTTCACAACAGCTTCTATTCCACATTTAAGTATTAAGTATCATAATATATTAATCACTCTGAACGTGAGATGGAGCTTATATATCTTTCAGGCTCACACATATTTGAAGCCAGCAAAATACAACACAGGAGCAGAAGGAAGAGAAAATAAAACTACAAATTTTCATATCGCACAATTCAAGTTTATTCCATTCATTCTTGCAACACAAACTTAAAAATACAGTATCAATTAGCATTCTGATGTCTATGAACCATGGTAATGATGAACTCAACTGTGTCAAAATAGTTACATAGGTGAAAAGAGGAAGCCAAATATCAAAATGCACAAAGCACTAAGTTTCTTCCATCACTGCATAGAAAGATGATTGTTTATCCATTTACAAAATATAATTAAGACAGTTCATTTTGAAATTTTGCATGCAACATTGCAATTGCTTGACCTAAGACACTCCACTCCTACCAGCCTCTTCTACAAATAATTCAACGCTATGTTCAAGAAAAAGGAAAAAAAAAAATCCATTTAATTACTGCATTTCTTTTCCCACTTACTCCTCCCTAAGAATAAGGAGCAGCAGTTAAAAGATCCAAAATACACTTATGGTTATAATTTATTGAGCAAAATTTGAAAGGAAAAGGTACAAGAGGAGAATAGATTTGCAAGTGTATGTACTTCTAGTCTGAGAAAGTACTGTTTTCAGAATGCAAAATAATTTAAGATTTGGTATATTCATCTAGTTAAGACCTACTCAAAGACACAAGTAGGCACTCATTTTTCTTCTTCACAACAAAACTAAAAGGAAAGGAATGAATGAACAAGCCCTGTTTCTAGACAATCATGAAAGAGTTCAGCTTTTCTCATCATCATCATTAGTTTTTTCAAAGTTCTGGGCAAAATTATCAATCACTTCTCATGTAGTGCAAAAAAAAATTTTGATGATTCAATCAATAAATGTCATCTTTTCACTATCTAGAAAGGCATCTTGGGTGTACACTACAGCCAAATTCACACTTGAAGTTTGTTTGCATTTTTTCCTCAATTAAGAAAAAGGTGTTCACACAACTGTAGAAAAAGAAAGGCAAAGTTGCCTCAGTGAGTTATCAGAAGAGTTAGTACAAAGATGATGTCTCCTTTATATAATAACGCTCACTTAAATGCGAGTTGAAGGCAGGGGGAGGGAAAAATCAGAAGTACAGGAGAAAAAAAAAAGAAGGAGAAAGCCTATGGCCAGACAACTTGACACTAATCAACACAAAACTTGAATAATCAAGTTTTCCACATAAAACAGATTGCAGTTTTCTAGACTAGGATTTTAGTACCTAAGTATTTATTAGCATAACACGGAAACAAATTTATGCCAAGGATGTTTACTTTCATAGCTGAATAAAAAATGAAACCTATATTCTATGTTCACACTATTGCAATGACATGACCATCAGAGTTAAGATTACAGGGTTTTCTTTAAGTATTCATTAAAGAGTACTGCTCATCAAGCCATTACCAATTGATTTACCACTCATTTCCTATCTTCCTTCTCTTTCTTGCCACTCATTTCCAGGAAGCACAATTAATTGCACTGTACAGTTCATGGCCAGTGTTTTTTTCCCATGCTCTTCTTATGGGATACGTACATGTAAAGTCAGTTCAGGATCTCATTCTACCATTTAAACACCAGGTGTTTTACAGGTGAGACATTCACTAATATTATGCAACATGATTCAAGTAAAACTAATCTCCATGAAATATTTTAGTGGTTGTCACCAATCTACTTCTACACAACCTCCCAATTTCAGCTATGACAGCAAAATAGTATCAGCTACTTTTAAGAATTCAGCGTAAAATTTTATGTACAGTGTTATCTGTATGGTATCAGAAAGTTTGAAAATTGTATTTTAAAAAAGGAAGGTGTACAACTTTGTGGTTTAGACTTTTTTGTTATAAAACCTGTTATTCACTCTGGAGTGAACTGGCAGTCTGAAGAAAATTTCGGGATGAAAGCCAGAAGCTCTTGCATTCCTGAGAACTGTAGGATGTGACAGGAATCCCTATCACTATTTTAAATACCTTCCCATGAGTTGTCAAGGCTGTTGCAGTACTGCCATGTACAGCGGTACAATAACTCTTACCTAAATTATGATAGTTAATATGGTAGGGCTGCAGTGGGAACTTTTAGAATAAGCTCCATGCCTTAATAATCAATTTTAAAAGGTTCATTCAGTCAGCAATGAAACGTGAATACAAGAATGCACTCCATCCCACCCTGGTAGTTAGGGCTAATTAAGATTTCTACCTGTAAGTCTTCCTGTTCCTAACAACTAAACTTAGGAAGCTCTGCATGTATTGCAAAGCTTACCAAGAAGTTTAGCATCTATATTTACCTCTGATATGAATGTCTAAATAATTATTGTTCATTTTGAACATTTCATTTGATTATCCCTGTATATCAAACAGCCTGAAATTTTCAAACTACGCACTTTCAACCTATTGACTTTACGTTGACATGGTGAGTAAATAAATTTCTTCTTACAATCCTTCTGGAAATGACTCTAGTGACGTTTTTAATTTTCTCAAAAAAAGCTGGTTAAAACCTCTGTTCTGGACTAGAACACATATGGAAAAGGAAACATCGAAGTTCAAGCATCCAAAAGTACCTTGGCAGATATTCTGGAGTGTAATAGGGCTTTGCCTCAGCTGATCTTCCTGGTTTACTCAAGAGTCAGAAAACCATTAGTGTGACATCCAATTAATCAATATGAAGTACAGCTCCATTAACCAAAAGTCCTTAAAACTGCAACATAAGCTTTAGGCAGATGAATAAAGCTACCCATAGAGAGAGGAGAGAAAAGCAACCCAGTCATCTACATTAATTACTATACTTCAGTTTATGGTAGACACTAATTCCATGGGACTATTGTTTCCTTCACAATTATGGTCTTAGGTACATTCCATCTAAACAGATCTTTGAACTAAAACCTTAGTACTAACTTAGGAAGTTCACAAGCCAAAAATTAAAGATCATGATCTCTTTTCCCCTCTCCTTTTTCACTAGAAACGAGAAAAGTTTGTGCACTGAAAAGAGGTCCGAACAGATTATCTTTGATAAAGCCCCTAACTAGAGAGAATCTCCCTCTCCCCAAAGTATTTAGCTGAAGAAGCTGGAAGATGCAAAGAGTGACAGACAGGCAGCAGTGTGAGGCCACAGGAGAGACATTTAAGATAACAGTCCATCCATCACTGAAGAAGAGTTTTTATTGCCTGGTTGTCAGTGGCTTCAAAGGCAGTTAGTCCATCTGGGCCTTTCACAGTCTTATCAGCACCCTGTAAAGACATTGAAAAGGATTGTCAATTCATAAAGGAAAATGTATTATATTATTAGGTGCTTTACAACAGTTGTTTACTCTGGATAATTACATTCATTATATATAGCTTTGTAGTCCAATGCATATTTTCACCTCAAAACCAAACAGGCCCACATTTACCCATGAAACTATTCAGCATACAGCTAAAGCTATTCCACATCCCTGCCCTGAGCAGAGGGGATAAAGTTTGAGAAATCAGTGATATCACTTTGTCACAAAGAAAGCTGAAAGATCAAATTATTAATATAGGATACAGCCAAAAGTTTTTTTTGTTTGTTTGTTTCTAGCAACTACTTGAATACAAAAACTCCATCTCGTGCCTTTTATGAAAACTATGGTGCAATACACTTTTCCATATGCCAAAAAAATCATACAACCTCTGGAAGGACTTACTTATTAACAGAATAAAAATAAGTTAAAGACGTTAGTGAGCAGTACTGCCAACCACTATAACAAAACTCAAGAGTAAGCCTCTGTACAATACTAAATTTTATCTTGGATTAAAATTCAATAGTTGCCAAAAAGACTAGACAAGACCTAAATTAATTGGCTTCATTTTCTGCTCATAAATATGTATCAGATATGTCTGATTAAAGGCTTAACATAATGCATATATCAGAGGAACCAGGAATCATCCACACTGCAGATTGCAGCTGCATAAAAGCCAAATCCATGACAAAAGCATGACCAATGAGTTCTAAACTCAAGAAATATGAGTAAGGATGTTTCATAACTAATCTGCCTAAGCTTAATCATACCCCATTTGTCTTCCACATCACAAGGATCATATTCATCTAGCATTGTGCTTATCTCTGTTTTGATAAATCAAAAAGGCAAGCTTGGTACATTGAAAAAGTCTTAATGTCCAAAACTAAATGAGTGTTTTTGAATGAGCTAGGCCTACCTAAAAGCAGTAGAGCAGAATACAGTCAGTACTACTTGTATTTACAAATCTGGCATTATTTCACACAAGGTTATAGACGTGCACAACTAGACATGGCAGACTTATGTAGAAATAAGTATCATCAATAACAGAAACAGAAAAGGAAAGTAAAAGTTAGAAATGGAGATTAGCTAATCATATTTGTTTTGAGCACTGCACAGACATGCATATGAAAGCGAAAACACAGGCAAAAATCACAAAAAACGTAGTTAATTTTGATCCGTTTATTATTGCATCAGAGAACATAGGACTATAAAGATGGAAAGATGCTTCTTGAAAATAAGTTAGATTGCAGAACATTTCCTTCTGGAAAGATATGCAAGTCTCATTTTTAAATATCTAAATTAAAATGATAGTAAGAATACTTTTGTACAAATATGCTTCAGTATACATGCACTGCAGAGTCCCATTTGTTTCGGTATGTTTTAGCTGAATCTGGCCTTAGAATATGTACAAGTGTCTCTCCTCCCTTGCATTACACATAAGAAAATGCACAAATTAACACAACACCCGATAGCTTTCTAAGAAAATGACAGACCTTATATTTCGAGAACTTCTCCACTGAAACCTAAAATCATTCACTTATTCCCAAGATAACTCACAGTTTGAATAAACTTCCCATTTTAACTGACTTTTTAACAATCTAATAAACTGCATCTCACATTATTGTAACTTGTTGCCAACACTATCTTTCACATGAAATATTCACAAGTCTGAAGAGATGTTTCACACACAACAATATTACACCTGCCATTCTGAACAGAATGCTTTACAGTGGTTTCTAAAGTGTCAGCACTCGTCCCGTGGCCTGCTGGCCAAATGAACCACGTCACAACCATTCGTCTTGCCTGCAAGCCCATAGATGCCATTGGGAGCAAGACCCAAGCTAAATGGATTGCTTTGCAGTAGCCAGCTCTGGGGCAGGAAGACGGGCTCCTGCTATCAAAAGCCTGGAAGATAAAACTGTCTTGGAAGCCAGGAGAGTGAAGTGCAACTGCTCATTTACTCTCATACTTTCCAGGCAGCGGAATAGAGACATGCCTTTGGTGCACATGCATTAAATGCAGTCAAACAGAAGGAGCCACCACAGCAGTTGCTCCTCATCCTGACCAGATGTAACACACTTGATGAGAACGCTGCAGCATTGACTCAAAGGGTATGAATACAATGAACACAAACAATCTTTTTCACTGTTAATTAACTGTTTAGTAGACTTAAAATCAAAGATGCAGAACTACTTCTGGTACAAAGCTTGCTCTTTCTTTCCATCTCCTGCAAACATTGAGAGCTACCTTACCTAAAGGAACCATTAAACCAAAAAATTTCTCCCCCACAGAGTGCTCTCTTACTTTCTCTCTCTATATACACACACATATATTAATAGTTTTCTCATTTTTTAATATGTTCTATACCATCTTAAGCAGTACTTTAGTATGTTAAAAGTTACAAGGTATTTCAAGTGCTATTAGCACCTCAAGTTTTATGATAATTTGCACAATTTTGTATTGCATCTGTTACCTACATTTGTATTTCAGAAAACAGTTAAAGGCATGTAAGACATGAGTTTCAAATTTTGCTTTATTGAATGTAGGATAAGAGAGTCATAGCTATCTAAGAATTAGACTGTTTAATATAGTCAGTATTAAAAAATTAAATGGATCCTTAAGTATTAAGTATTCCAGTATTCTACCGAAGCAGCCATAATCAAGTTCAAGTTAGGGTGAATTTAATTTTCGGATGCACAGCATTGCCAGGAAACAGGTTTAATGGCAGTTCATTGAAATAAAATGTACCACAGTATTCTCTAGTTGTCCAAAGTAGCTAATACTTTCTCCTTTTTTTTTCCATATTTATATATATGTATGTGTGCGTACATTTGGAGCAGTGCTTATTGTTCACTAGGAATTTATGAACAAATCTAGGACCAAATCATGTTCTTTTCCATATAGATCTATAATGCAGACATATACATGAAGATAGGCAAAAGAACATGAAGATAAATTTTAACTTTACAGACACACACAGATTCTGTCTTTAGCAGCGTAGTAACAACCACAAGGAATGCCTGGACTGTTATCCCACTGGGAACAAGGCAGTACAACAGCTACTGGGATACAGTTGCAGTTCAGAAATAAAATATCATTGAAGTAGCAGAAAGGGCCAATGCAGAAATATTACAAAACTTGTACAACTAGAATGAGGTTACCTGAAACTAGAAGACTGGCTTACAGAACAAGTGGCTAATTTCTGTAATTAGTCACCACAGGAAGTTACAGAGAAAGATGATATCAGCTGGCTAAAAAATGACTGAAACAAATGCATAGACAAGAGATTTTATAAATATTTATTAAAGGGAGTAAACACGCATGCACGTCTAAAATCCCTAGTACAACAATTAGGGATATTTTGAAGAATGAGAGAAAAAGATCACCAAAAGCAGACAGCAAACCCTTCTTTTAAACTTTAAACAAAGTGTTCTTTTAGAGTAAATCTAATTACTTTCATGTATTACAATAAACCAGAGCAAAATAATATTACGAACTGAAAGTCATAGCCCAATGGAAATGTTTTAGGTATTACTATGCAAAACTCTACAGCCTGAGCCTTTGCGGGACCTTCACCATAAGCTTTCAGAAGCTTGCCTTCATTACTTGAAAGAGACACTAAAGAGTAGCCCAAAATTATTTTTGAGCTGTGGAGATGAAGTAAGATATTTTAAAATAGTGGATTACCAAATGAGAAGTTTGGATGGAAATCTGCAAAATGGGTTCTTCAAAGTTATGTTTTAAGAAATTATGTTTTTTGATCTCTAACCTGACCAAAAACTATCATCTGGCCTAGAGGCTGCTTGTGGCAATAATAATACCTTAAGATTTAATTCATTCTACTTTCAATTTGACAGAAAAATATTATATCTGTACAGGTTTACTTTACTTACTGAGAGCCCATGTCCCCACAGGTTATAAGTTTAAACTGCCTTGATATGCAGAATGCTATAAAGGGAAACAAAATGCTCTTCCCGAAGCCCACACCTATTCATCTGCTTTTCTTCTTTAAGCAATATAAGTAACAAAGCTTTTAAAATGGATTAAAATGCAATCAGTGACAATTTTTTCAGAAACCAGTAGTCTTACCAGAAAAGGATTATCAGCAACTTTTAGAATCAAGTGGGAACCGAAGAACAGCTATCGGTTGAATATGATGTCAAACTGGATACTGCAGTCAACTCAATTTTGGTTATTCAGACTTGTTAGTTTATCTGGTTTCAAAAGTACTTAGGCTAAGACTTAAAACCCACAAGAGAGTTTTATCATTCATTAATTTTTAATGAAATACGGCATTCATTTCAGTTCTTTGTCAGTCTTTCCTATTTAAGCCAAGGCCATAAAGGAAGAGTATTTGTGGTTCACTATTAATCAATGAACAATTTGAGGAACCAGTAGGTCTTTTTATGTTTTGATTAGCACAGAACTCCTCGCAATATTTGCATTCTTTCTCTAGATATCAGGACATTGACTGGAGCCTCTTTAAGCCAAGTTCTCATGGTACAATTCCTGTTTTCACATATGTTAAGATAGCAACGGTTCCCAAAAGAGTTGTGCTTTTGGGACAGCACTCAAACAACTTCTAGGACAGTACTCAAACAGCTACTACAACTTAAAATAGAAGAAGTTGTGCCAGTCTAAGCCCCATCTGAATACAGAGTTTGATCTCTGACAAGTCAGACTACAGCTTGAAAATTAATTGGGCATCTGTCATTTCTTTCTCATCTACTTGGCTCAAACACCAATTCATAGAGGCAGTGAAGAATCGTAGAATTTAAGTTGGCAGAGCAAGACAAAACTCAGACTTGGCATAAAAGATAGGGAGAGGAATTTGTGTGACAGAGAGCCCAAGCGTGTATTTCGTAATTACAGTAGCAATTCTATACCGGCAAACCTGGAATAAAACAGATTAAATACTTCCTAACTATCCAAACCAAAGACATTGGAGTCATGTACTGCTAAAAAAAAAAA